GCTGGGGCCGGCCTGGAGGCCTGGCGCCACCCCTCGGGGGCGGCAAGGACCCAGTTGGGGGGACAGGAGGAAGCCGGGGGATGGCTGGTGGTGGGCTTTCTGCTTTGCCTTTTCCTCCTCATGCCACCTTAGTGAGGGGCGCGAGCTGTGGCGGCAGCTCCGGGGTGGGGAGACGGGACCCGGAGTGGGAAGAGCTGGGCTTCCGGGCCTAGCCACCAGCTGGCTGAGAGACCTTAGGCAAGTCACTCAGTAATTTGCGCCTCAGTTTCCTCCTCTGCCTGTCCGTGTTTGTGGGATTGGAAGCGCTTTGTAGACTATAAAGCGTCCTTATACGTCAGAGATGACTATTCTTTGTAAAGCTTTTTGAGTTGTAAGAAAACTTAGTAATCGCCCGATCCTTGGGTTGTTTTTGTTTTGTTTTGTTTTGTTTTGTTTTTTAAACCTGAGAACCTTGGATTGGTGTTGGGAGATCACCACACTCCCTGAAATTGTATGCAGAAATTGGTGAGAATGAAGATTTGGGGGGGAGTCTAATCAAGTTTCTACAGGAGGCTGTGACCCATTAAGGGTTGAGAACGACAATTCCTTTATGCCACAGGAGGAAACTGAGGCCTAAATGTCATTTGGGACATTACACAACCAGTTTGAAGTCCCCGAGTCCCTGGGATATGTGAGCTGTTCTATGCATAACGGATATTTGGGGTAACAAAACTCCCTTGCTTGGCTTCTGTTGAATCCTTTTCTTTGACCTCAGGGTGCCTGAAGTGAAGGGTGGCTGATGCCTAATGGTACAAAGGGCACCTAATTCAAAGCAGCTCAGACTAGTGGGTGCATTGCCCGGTGTCAATGAGCCTATTTAATTTTTGACCCAGCGCACCTATCCTTTTTTGCTGCTTATTCTGGTGCCAGGCTGTTTCATTGACCATTTTCCACAACTGTGGTTGCCATCCATGTACTTAACACCTATTTAACTCTTCTCTCTAGTCTGTGGTTAATAGGGAATAGAATTATTGTTAAATGGTGCTGCTAAACCTAGCTAATTAGCCATGCAAGTGGATTTTTAGCAAGCAGCTCGCTGGAACAGTGTAAACCCAGCCTAGAATTCCTGAGTGTGTTTGGGTTTTTTGTTTATTTTCCTCTACTAATTGAAAGATAACATGCTTTGAAATGTTGAGTTGGTAGGCGTGCTGCACCTCCAAATTAGTAGATTGGGAAATGATTCAACGCTTAAGTTTTCCTGGGCTGGCTTGGATTTTAATTGCTAGAAAGTATGATACTACGATGCCCAAAACGCTGGTTTTTTGTTTCCTTGTTAATTGTTAGCTGCTTCGATCAAATTCCAGACCATTATCAAACACTATAGAAATGTTTGAGCAATTTAATTTCAAACATTTTTCATATTGTGGAGTGGTGCTTACCAGTAGTACAGCTCTAAGCAAATGAACAGAAACAAGCTTAATGTGTATTTTGACTGGCTGTTAGCTAGTCTTGGTATTTCTTACAAATTTGGGGAAGGGGGGAACAAATCTGTTGACTAGACTCTTTACCTAAAGGGCAGAGACAAAATGTTCTCCCTTCCAGAGACATGACTTTTTTGGAGGGGCAGGGGGGAATATGTTGATCTTTTCGCTCTTTTGTAATTGAATCTGGATGTACCTCAAAAGAATCTTAAGACTGTGGTGATAAGATGCTTTCTTCAGGAAAAAGGAAAAAACAACTGGAACTTGAAATTCTGTGACAAAATGTGAGATGAAGGATTGAAGGATCAAAGGGTTTCACAAGCGGGAGCAAATTTCCTCTGATGCTGTCACAGATATGGAATCCCGATTTCCAAGAACTGGACCTGGGACACAGGAGAGTTGATCAGGATGAGACAAGAACTCTTCGAGCTAGGCATTTGTATCTTTGAATTTTGGGACTCTTGACTTTGTTGTGGAAAAAAAGGCAATGATTGAGCAAGTACTGCCATGAACACTGTTATTGGGAATTAGAAGACCTGAATTTATATCCAGACCCTCAGTGTACACTGACAACACTCCATCTAAAATGAACTACGGTACTTGCCATTTTCCAAAATGCTTTTTATTGACCATCTCTCACTTTCGCTTATGCCCTCTTTTCTCCCTGGAATTGCTTTCTCTGATTCCTCCTCTGTCAGAACTGCCATTTCCTCAGTGTCAATGCAGAAGCCCTCTTCCATGACTTTAACTTTCAGCCACAAAGAATCTTTATGTTTTATAATATGTTAATGCATATTTTAATCTGTCTTTGTTGTGATACCATGTAAAATAGTTATTTGCATGCATTTGCTCTCTTTCCAGAAAGCAAAGGCCTTGACTGATGCATCTTTGCTCACACACACCACCACCCATGATGAAGCTTTTATTAGAAAGGAGAAGTTTAGAGAGCAGGCGATTTCAGAATAAGCACTCAGTAAGTGTTTGCTTAATCTCTGTGTGATGTCTAGAATTTCTTTTAATAGAAGAAAAGTCGCTGGATGTGGGCCTTGTTTTATTGTCTTTATTTATTGTAATGCTTTCAGTCAGTACTTGAAAAGGTCTAGAGAATCCCCCAGCCCTAAAGAGGAAGTTGAAAGAGCAGCTTTTAGGAGGACACAGTCACAAGACAACTTGAGGAGGTCATTGGAACAGAAAAGGGCAGTACTGTTTCTATGGCTTTGTTGTTGACCTGTGAACCTAGTTCTTGTGCTGCCTGTGGAGCTATTTCTTTTCCCCTGCACTTGTTACTGCCCAGGGAGGACCCTGAGTATAATCAAATGATATCCCCAAATTGTGAGGCTTGGGGCAGTTACCTGTTAGCTGACTCTCTGGGACAGGAGTCAGCAAACAGTCTTTGCCAGAGCACTCTTTCGGTTCTACTCATCAAAGATTGTTAGCCAGGCTGAATTGCTTGTTTGTTTGCTTTTTTTTTTGTTTATCATATTTCAGCCTCTAAGACAGACTTGTTGAGAATGTGTACCCAGTAGGCAGCTAATAGCCTTTGTTTATAATCCCATGCATTTGTTATTTTACCTGCTTTGTCCCTGCCCTTTCTAGTCCTGTGCCACCTGTGATTGCTGTGCTCACCTGAACCTTCTGACCACCTTCTTGGTACTGGTCCATCAGTCTCCAGAACTGGTACCTGGGTTTTTGCCCATGGTGATTCTCCTACCACCTTACTACTGAAGAAGGCATGATTCGAATGGGACCATTGTGACCCAAGACGCATTCAGCTATCACGTGGCCTTTACTTCCACTCCTGTCCAGCTCTGCCCAGATTCAACACAACTCTTTATATAGTGATGTCAGAATCATCAAGCCAGATATACAGCAAAGGCTCCGTTTGTATCAAGTTTGTAACAAATATGTCTTGTTTCTTCAGTAAAAGCCTTCAGAGACATTTAAATTTGGACCTGGGTAATCTTCGTTACCTGCGCTGTCTGAAAAATGGCCACATCTCTGAGAAAATTGGACCATACCCACACAACCTCTTAAATGAGTAAGGGTCAGGTCTAGGATCCCATCAGGGTCACTCGGCCCTCTTTTTCTACTTCAAACCTGCAGTAGGCTACTGAATGACAAAGCAGATATTCTGACCCATTGGGATCAAAACAAAGATACAGAACTTTTCATAGCATCTTCTATGGGATTACTCAGGAACCAGAGTTTTCACACAAATGTAAGAAATTCTACCAAGGAATCCCTTTATGTAACAACATCTCACAGAGCTCCAATCAGATCCAGAAAAGACCTCTTGATCTATCAAGGTAGAATCTATATGACAATACTTTATATTTATATAGCACTTTACCATTACCGAGGCACTTTTGCATACATTTGTCTCAGTTATCAAAAATAAATATCCCTTTTTGTAAGTGGGAAGTGGAGATTGAAAAGATTAAAGTTTCTAAGTTACAGAGCTGATCTGGTACCCTTAGCCAGGCAAAGTATCATAAATGGCTGCTTGCAGACCAAAATCCCATGGCAGTATCCCTAAGCTTTGTCAGCAAACTCCCTCTCCATGATAGGTTGTCAGTCAACAGGGCACATATTCATGTGACAATTCAACCTAGATTGAAACACAAAGCTACTTTTATACATGGACACAAAAGTCTCCATAGTTTTCCTAAGGCTGGCCTAATTAAACACCAAGACCTTGTCTATGGTCCCTCTCTCCCCAAATTAAAATTTAAACAATGAGTTTATCTTGAATTTTATCTTGAACAGCCATTTTGTGACCATTTATAAGTATGACCCTTCTGGAGTCTGATAAGCTGGTAAAACGCTATATCAACTCTTTCCCAATCCACTCTGCAGTTTAAAGATATCAAAAAGCTTGCAGCTAAGAGACCTATTCAAATGTTTGGTCTAATACATTTTGTTTAATCAAACAGAACACTTTTCCCCGCATTCCTTCTAATAGAATGGGAAAACTGCTTTAGAATGATGTAATCAGCCCTTCCTGGTTGCTCTGGAAGCCCCAGAACAAGCAAAGTATCTTTGAAACCTCCCTATCTGTCACATTGTCATCACCTGGTTGAATTAGGATGTGCTCATTCTCTGAGTCCTGCATTTGACCATTGCCTTTATTTTCTGTTAAGGGAACCTCTAGAAGATTTGTGGGCATACAGAAGGGAAATGGGGGAAAAGTAACTCTGCCCCCAAACTGGGTGAGTGTCGTGACTTTTGGCAATATACTTCTCTACCGTTAGAATTGCACCATAAACTTTGTTTAAGCAATTGCATCTCAGTTGAGCCAGGTTGTTAGAAAAGAAAGGGGGGGTGGGGATGATGTATTTTCTTAGAATTTTGAAGTTGTGAGCCATTGAGGTGTTGGTCCAACTGGACTCCTTAGTAATATTTGCAAAGAAATGGGTTTTATAGTGGTACACTAAAGTAAAAACTACTGTTTTTCCACTTAAAATTAATGGTCATGTCCTGTGATCCTCACTTAAAAGTCCTAGCCAGTCAAATCAGAATTTATAGCAAACGAGCTTTAACTCCATTAACCTGTAATGTGCTCACATAGGGAAGGATTTAATAGGAAAGCACCTTCTTGTCTTTGCTTACAGTTTCTGGTTTCTGACCTTTTTTGTATTTCAGCCTTTTGTGAACAACTTATTCTTTGATCATTGATTTTCCAAAGACTTTGTGGCCATGAAGCCCTTTGAATGAAAATTTTGCGGAACCCCGAAGTAGAAGTGAAGCAGCAATGGATGAAGCGGGGGTTAGGGTGTCTGAAACCCACCACAAGCACCTTCCTTATCACCATGGTGACACTAAGGGGACTTCCTGGCAACACCTAACGCTCTTCAGAACACAGTCCAAACATCACTGCCCTAGACAACAATTTAATGTTGGACTTGTTTGACATTCTGATCTTTTCTATGCCTCCACTCAACACATTTTTAGTTGATGCTAAGCAATTTTTGGAATACTTAATGCAAATTTAGAAAGATGCAAGAAGAGAGGCATGCCTTTGCCCCAGAATATCCATGTGCACTGAAAGTGATGTCAAATGGACTTGATTAACAGCTCTCCACTACCAGATGGACTTCTAGTGATTCCTGGGGTTGGATAAGCCATTGAGTGATTCATACATACTCTACACTGACAAAAACCCCTTAACCAATTTCTGTCACAAACACCAGATGTTCTAGTGGTACTTGATGTACGTGAATTTGAAGTCTTACCTCTCCTTGGATCCCTGAATCTGCAGCAAGCTGTTATCGTTGAAGCTGATGCCTCATTTGAGCCACGATACTCCTTTGTGTGCAAGGGATAACCATTAACTGTGAAATCATTTGAGACTAACATTATGTAAAAGGGGCTTAGTTCCTGGTTGTCTGTTTCTTAAATCAGGGACATTTATACTGATCCTTGGTTTTTGTTCAGCTTCAGTACTGTTTCCATGGAGCAAAATAACCTTAGGGAAAGAAAAACCAAAACAGGTTTTCCAGGATTGGCATATCTGACTACTCTGCTCCAAAATTATGACTACTGAGCTCTACGTGTAATAACTGACCAACAAGAAGCCATCTTTGAATGTTCTCTGCTGTGTGGTTTTAAAATGTGGCATTGTGAAAATTTCTGTTCTAACCAATGAGGAATCCTTCTAAGGATGGTTCTTTTTATGTCTGGTCCCATCACCTGTATGTGTTGGAGATACTCAAAAGTTGATCTTTGACATGATTTAATAGCTCCTTGCTCAGCATGTCAAATTGGGCATCATCTATCTGTTGGGAGTCGATTGACTTGGAAAAAAAAACCTCGACAAAGGATTTTACTAGTTAGACTTGTTTCCTGCTGCATCTTTGTTGTAAGACCACAGATCCCTGTCTCCATGGATGCCACACAATCTCGCTTGTCTCAGTACTGTCATTTTACTCTGCTAGACACCTAACTCCAAGTGACTGTTATTCCTTGTCATGAGATACCCTCAGGCATCCAGACAGCTTCAGCTGTAAGAAGGATTCAATTCACGAACTCCAAGACCAGATCATGATGCACCAAGACTGATTTGTTATAAGAAAATCACATTCCTAAAAATGTAAGATCCAGCTAAGCCTCATCTGTAATGGATACATTGGCTCACCGTTTGGGATACTTTCTTTGTATTGCTATCTTTTATGCTGTAGACCAATTGTTACTACATGACTAGGCTATAGATCATCCTCCCAAGTTCTCCTGAAGGTCTCACAAACCTGGCCTAGGTGTGGTTGCTGTAGACTGCTTATCCTGTAAATCAGAATATCTAGTTTGCTTGTGTGCACTATTGTTTGTAAAGAATTATCTGCAAGTTCGATTTCTCTACTTCAAAATGCCCTCTTTTTGATCTCTGCTTTCAATCCTGTACTTTACATTAGAAGATCTGATCTACACTGCCAGTCATTCCCATTGGTCCTGTCAGAATGAGGGATTTTAAAGTGAAGATGATCAACTGCTCAAGAGTCTTATCTAATTGTGCTTTGTATATTATAAGAATTTGTTGGAAAAACAGAGTCTAGGACAAAGTCAGGAGATTGCCTACTGTCTCCTTGCCTCAGATGTCATCTAAATGTTTTAAAACAAGATTCAGCCGGTCCGAGGCCTTGACTTGCTTATAATTTTCAAAAGTGGGCTGAGTTACAGAAGATGATCACTTTATTACCAAAGAAAATTCGGTGAACCTTGACAAGCCTGGCTCTTCCAATCTTACCACTCCTTTGTGTAGCATAGATGTCTAAATAACCTTAAGTCTGGATTATGATGAAATGGCCTCCTGAGCTGAAACTTCTTAATTAGAGGAGCCGGAAATGAAAGCTGTTGTAGCTGACTTCAAGATCAGAGTGTTGCATCCAGAGTAAGCCCAGTGGATTATCCTGAGTACACAGGATGAAAACTAATTCACAGAGGTTTATCAACCCTGTTTTCCTATTTACCTGACTCAACCCTTGTCTGCCTTTTTTGATATATTGCTGCAATCAGACTGGCTGCCTTTGATAAGATACAACCAGCCTCAGCCTATCTTGTGCCTAATTCCACCAAGGATTTTGAGCAGAAGCAATCTGTACCTCATTGGACCAGGACTGTTCACAGCAGAAAGGATTATGCTGTACGTTCCTTGGCCAGGACTTTTTTTTTTTAATTAGACAACAGGCCTCTATGCCGATTTGTATTTAATCATTTCCAGCAATTGTTACCATATTTGGAAGGAGTACAGCAGAGTCAAAGCACTGTCCATTCTTTGATAATAAAGGGACGAGTCCAGTTCACAGTATTCTCAGAAAGTCTCCAATTCAATTTAGCAAGACCTAAAGAAGGATGCAGGGAAGGTTTCCTACTGACTCATCTATCCTCACAGAAGTATTTGCCAGTGGGGGACTAGTTCAGCTTTTCATCAACAAGGTGGGCTATCGGAATTCTGACTACAGCATTTTCCTTACGTTTTAGCTCTGTTGTGATCTGAAGTATGTTGTTGGACATTATTATCTCAAGTGGATAACAAACTTGTGAGGACAGAAACATTAGCCCTGATAGTATTTGCAGCATATTTTGATCAAGGAAGAAGCAATGCCAGCTGTTCCCATTCAACTTCATAAAGTTTTCCAGTATGTGGCCCTATTTTGGACATGGGGTGGGTGGTTTTGTTTTTGTTAGCAACAACAACTACTTGATGTTTCTTGGAACCATCTCTTTATTCTCTCCTCAGTCTAGGTGGTTCAGATGGGTTGACCCAACCTAGGTCTTCATATGTGGACATAATTCAGATCTGATCAACCAGCACAGCCCATTTCCTTGACCATAGTGTTCACCAGCCCAGTTCAAGAATGACCTTATGATTCTTGTTGGTCCAGTGGTACTCAACCTGAGTTTGACTGATCTGTGCGAGAAAAACAGCTGCTTGCTGAGGTGGCTAAGCTTTGCAGGATGAACAGCTGGAACCAGTAGGCCCACCACATGGAAGAAGCCAGTGCAGAGGAAAACAGCCAAAAGATGGAGAGACTTGAGTCCTGATGACATTTGTTTATGCCCCTGGATCCAACCGTGCCTGAAGCTAGTATAGCCCCTGGACTTTTCAGTTATGTGAACCAATAAATTCTCTTTTTTGCTTAAGTGACTTTGAGTTGGGTCTCAATTACTTGACATTTAATCTTAAGTAATACAGTATCTACTAATGTTGAAACTTGACAGGTCCAGGTATTACAGTAGAAGCCATGACTACCTTGAATTTTCCCAACCCTTGAAATCAGTTGAATCCACAACTGACAATATTGTCACCACAGAAGCTTAAAAAATTAATTACATATGCCATAGTTACCTAGTGCTGCTGTAACAAGTAAAACAAGTGTATGGCTTTAACAGTTTATTCTCAGTTTAGGAGGCTAGAAGTCCAAGTTTAGAGCACCAGCTACAGGAGAAGGCATGCTGGAATAATGTCTATCCCCTTTCAACATCTATAGATTCCTTGAATACATACATGTACCTAGGGATCAGTTCTCCTGGGACATACAGCTTTTCTTGGTAACTAGGTCCCTCATTCTCTGGTTGCTTCTCTATCCCTTGTAAGATAAAAGGTACGGGCCAGACCTCAAGGAAAGTACCCTGAACTTAAGGCTTGTTTTGCATCCTGCCCTAATACCCTCATGAGGGATGCCTGCATTATGTAAATGGGAAATTACATAACTACCAAACCACTAAGAATCATGACTCAGCCAAGCTGACACAATTTTGGAGAATACAGTCGAAGCCATTAGAGCCATGGTAGGAAAAATAGAAATAGAAGGAAACCTAAATTCCCATCAGTAAAGATGGGATTTAGCCATATAGAAAGTACATACCCATTAATGTGAATGAAATACACACTGTCTGGACATGGGGGAAAGTGGCTGTGATCCATTAAGTGAAACACGGAAATGTTAATAGTCCATTAAAAAATAGGGATGTTTACAAACGCATAGAAAAGCCTATGGCTTCTTGGAGAGTGGAGAGACTACTTAAGACTTCAACATCTTGTTTCTGATTTTGAGTATTTTACACTATCCTCACTTTATACTATCACCTTAACATTTGGCTTAGTATCAACTCCTTGACCTTGGGAGGAGCACTGGTGTCATAATGTGTTCCGAGATGGAATGCTAAGTGAAAGATCCAATAGTTCAAAATCACCTGACTTCTATAAAGATCTATAGCCTGGGAAACCAAGGCGTATTTATAGCCATGGAGAATTTCTACTGTGTCATGGAGGGTTATCGTGAGTCAAAATTGACTTGAGTTTGGGTTTGACTTTGGCAAGTGCCTGTTTTGTCAAATAATGAAAGTACCCATGCTTATATGACAACAGTAGATTCATGTATTACTGATGGGTTGTTAGACTTATTTGAGAAAGGGCTCAAATCTGTACACTTTGTGAATTTGTCTCTTTCAAAAGTCAGTATATTTGAATTATCAGTTACAGTTTCAACCAATGTTCCACCAAGTGTTATTCCAGTTCTCCAACGGATTATATCCAGTTGATAGGAGAAATCTAGCAAAGCCTCACACTAGGCACAGAATGGGCAAGGCTTATGTTTTCTTTGTAATTTTTGAGTTACTCATTTAGCTGCAGTCAAGGCCAATAATGACCATTTTATTATTAAATCCAGGGGATGTTCATTTTATCTGAGGCTTCAGCAGCGCTCCCCTACCCCCAGTACCTTAAGATACTTTTCTTAGATGCCACAGTTTTTATTTTCTTTTTTTCTGGCTAGTGTCTAATAGTTAACTCAATTTATGATTATATTCTATTTTTGTTATTTTTGCCCGCTCAATATCACTCTGTAGTGATGTTAGCTACCATCAAGTTAAGCCCTGGTTCATGGCCACAACAGAACAAAATGCTGCCGATATTGATTGTAGATCACACATTACAATAACTCTACCACTACACCACCAATTCCTTATTTTCCTTTAGATAGCTACTACTTATGATTTAGTGGAACCATAGAGTAAAGTACTCTGGCCTCAAATCCTCCAACCAAGGTTTGTTATGAGCTTGTCCAGTCAAAATTCCCCTCCTGGCAAAAATAAGAATCTTCAGAAAAGTGACACTGATTGGGAGGGAGTCTGTTTGATGGTAGGGTCTCAAACAAAGTGCCCCATTCCTCTTCACAAGGTTGGCTGCCCAGATTTTCCTTTGATTTTATAGGTTCCAATAGCTACTTCTGACTTGCTTTTTTGTGGGTTTCTGTCGCTCACCACCAAAAGAGGCAATTATGTCAGGAAATACCTAACTAGTAGGGTTCAGACCCTCAAAATGGAGGAGGTGGGATTAATTGTACTGATTTTGAGTTAAAGGCAACAAAAAACTCCTACCTTATGTCCTGGGGAGAGGGGTGAATAACAATTCATGGTGCCCACTGGAAAAACAGCTGCTTAATATACCACTATTGTCATTTGGAACTATGTGCCTATTAAGGAAAGTTTGGGGATAATGAGATCACCGCTTGCAATAGAACAATTTGAAGTGGATAATGAATATCAAAATCACTAAGTTGGAATGACTACTTCTATTGTGTTGGAGAATTTATAAAATGAGAGAACAGGCCCAAACCCAGGAATTAGCCTATAGGCATAGAATAAAACTTAAGACCTTTCTGTGCCCGAGATGAATGAGTCTCTGTGCCTAAATCCAAATTAGATCTAGGTTTGATATTGTAAATTGCAAAATTACCAAACGAAAACTGCCAAATGGAGTCATTGTGGACTCAGAGCACCTCTTACCGGACAGGGTAAACCTGCCCCTCTGAGTTTCCAAGACTGGAACCGCTTCCTAGAGTAGGCTGGGGGTTTTGAACTGCCGACCTTGCACTTGCAGATTGCAGCCCAACTCAAGACCACTATGCCTCCAGGGCTCCTTGCAAAATGATAACGCTGACTGAATTTGCAGCATTACTACGATCTTTTGCGAGAATTAAAGCTTTAATCAGGAAAAACTAACTTATGAGAAGATACGGAAGGTTTGTTTCATGACATTAATCAAAACCCCCTCAACTGAAAAAAACATGTATAGTGAATGAGTAAAAGATGAATACCAGCTACAGTCCTGTGACTACCTGCAGAAATTGGTTCTATATCCACTACTCAGATCTCTTGGCTTGCCTTAAAAATTTTTTCCATTCTCTTGCTCCATTAAGCACTCTTGTCAATCACATTCTCCGAAACAAAATCCAATGAATCGGAGCCACTATGATGGTTATCCCCTCACTAATGTAGAGGAGATGTGGTGATGGGGGTTACATTAGATTGTAGTTTATCAAGGAGGGATTAACTAGAAAATGTTGGCTGCAATGACTAGATAGTATTTGGATTTTCTACCTTTGGGGAAGAAATTTAAAATATATATATTTTTAACTTTTATTGTGAATTCTCTACGGCCGCCAAGCGACTCATAGCAAAGTATGACAAAGTAAAACGGCCCCTTTGAGTTTCCCAGACTAACTTTTATAGGAGTAGAAAGCCCATCTTTCTCCTACAAAGCAGCAGTGGGTCTCCACCTGTGCGTCGCGATCCCTTTGGGGCAGGGGTCATCCGATTCATAACAGTAGCAAAATGACAGTGATGAAGTAGCAACGAGAATAATTTTATGGATGGGGGGTCACCATACCACGACCCTGTATTAAAGGGTCGCGGCATTAGGAAGGTTGTGAACCACTGAGCTAGGGGTTCAAATAGCCACCCTTGCAGTTAATAGAGCAGGTTGTCGGTTTAACATTAAACATGATTCAGACACACTTTCCTTACTCATCCACTCTGATCCCCACTTCCCGTGTTTCCTGTTTCTATTCCTCCTTTCCTAACCCTCTATACCTTGTCCTTGGGTAAATGCTTTCCTTTAATCTTGCATTGTCTAAAATGACTCTAACACGGTGAGTTCAGTTCCAGGCCTGAAGAGTGACAGAGCCATAGCCATGGGGCTTCCACCAACCTCTACCTGACCAGTAGACCTGCTCTCTTAGGATTTGGGGTTTTGTCCCACATTTTTCTCCCACTCTATCAAGGACTTTCTAATGTACTCCCTTTCAGAGCAGTTGGGAGTGGTAGCCAGGCATCATCTAATTCTGGTCTCAGGAGAACTGAAGTGTATAGCACTTTAGTTCCTTGGGCTAATTGTTTCCATAGGTTTTTCGATGTTCACCTTTCTGGGGGCATTTAAAAAATATGTTAAAGGAGAATGCATGTGCTGAGCAACTAAAGACAGAAGATAATGGACAGCTGTGTTTCCCTATTCAGTGTATTTGACTCCTTCCTTTGAGAATAACCTCTCACCTTTCCTTTGGGAACTACTCCTACTCCAGGCCTGTGAGCCTCCAAAACTGTCAATCTCAGTGAAACATACCCTCTAGGTTGGGGAGATGGGGAGGTAGACAGGCACCTCATTTAGGCCAATCATCTCTAGGAATTTACCTCTTCAGGGGAGTGACATGCGAACAGAAGACATGAACAGAAGAGGGATGAGTTCCTGTTACTGAGATTCTTTCAGCTGCCCAGATTCTTGTCTTTCTTAATATTCAGCTTCTCTACTTTGTACACACTGCCACCTATCCTTCCAGTAAATTAAATTGGCCAGGAAAGCTGATGTGCAAGGTACCTCTTGGTATGTACACGTATAAGGTATATACCATAGCTGATTTTTATAGCTTGACAGTCAGAGAACCCAAGTGAATCAGTGCCCTTCGTATGACAGACCTTCCTGCCCAATAGACTTCCTGAGAACGTTCATCCATTCCATGGCCTTAGTTACTATAAGTAACTACAAACCATCCCTAACTATAAAACAGTCACTAGGCAACTCATGATAGAAGAAATGGAAAAGATCAACATTAGTAGAGAACTAAATTATTAGGAGTCTCTCGTGATGCAAACATGAGGTATCCAACCACTAACCAAATAATTCATAACTTTCAGACTCCTAATTTATTCCAGATTTTCTGAGCTCCAGATTTGCATATATCTACCTCTCAGCTAGCTATGTCCTCTTGATTAATACACACGTACCTCACTTTATTGTACTTCATCATTTTATTCACTTTGCATTCTTTCCAACAGTTTGAGCTCACTTCATGTCCATCATAATTTAGT